AGACACTTGTAATGGAGATTCCAATCAGCTCTACTGTTTGTTTAGTAGCATTAATATATTGTGGATGCTTTCAGGTTGAGATACAGGCCAGATCTATGACTACAACTGGCCCAACTTTTGGGAAAGGTTGGGTGCTGAATTTTTTTTTTCGAGACCTAGTCCCAGATTATCCAAGGGACCCAATTTCCACTGATCAGTGTGCTTTAGGCATTCAAATTCCACTGAAAAGCTGGGCCCTGCCCACTACTTCCATATATAGTGTTGACTGATCTAATAAAAATAGACCTCTCACAGATTTCAAAATGCAAAAATGATTGCAGGTCAAGATTGAATTACTTTGGCAGAGTTCTACATGGGAAACTTAAACCAACCAGCCTGCATTCTGCTGCTTATATTAAATGCGTGCTATCAGTTCCTTAGTTTCATCAATAATAAGTCTACTCATCCATATCTATATTACTTATCAAGATCTATTTAAAATCCAAACATTGCTCCTGTTTTTTCATATTCTCATTGAAATTGACGAACCTGCCCATTCCCAAGAGAGTAGTCAATCAACTGATATTAAAGAAAGAATAGGTTCATTTTCTGTCTTTAACATAAAGTTATAGCCCAGCCAGGAGCACTGGGAAACAGAGTCAGAAGAGGGGGATCTTGTCCTTTGCTGCTTGCAACAGGTTTACTGATTCAGTCTATATACTCATAATAAAACATTCCTCTATTCTTCACATGCTGCAGTAAATAACATGGCAACTTTTGACCTCCAGAGATGAAAACTCATTACGTACCATTGTGAGTACTTCATTTTTGAAGAAACTGAGTGAAACTTGAAAACCCCAGACTCTTTCCAGTGTCATTCTTACTGCTTATTGCACAGAATCAGTTTATCTTTTACAGGCAAAAAGAAAAAAAGGAGGGGAAAAAACCCAGACACTCTAAAATGCTTAGGAAAAATGCTCCCTGAAGGCAAGAACTGTGTATGCAAGTTGGTTACTTAGATGAGGATCAGAGATTGCCTGTGTTGGAGTGGGAGTTCTTTGCCTCAACTCCATAAGCCAATACAATAACAACATTTAGTACTCATAAAAAGATCACCTTGCATTAGGCAATTTCAAAGGGCTTTGAGAGATATCCTTAAGGAAATCTTGTACCACCCTTCTGAGATAGAGGAACATTTTTAATAAACAGTAAAAACCAAACTCATTTTTGCAGCTGGTTGAAATTTAGAATTTTCATTACATAGGGAAATCCCATATTTTCAAATTAGCAAAGTGAATGAAAAATCACAATTACAGAATTTTCCCATGAAACAAAACTTTAGAAAAATATTTTTTGGAAACAACAATATGGTCTGAAACATTTCACAGATTATTTTTATTTATACAGTACAATATTTTGATTCATCAATGATTAAATCAAAACAAATTATTGCAGTCATTGAAATGAAATATTTCAATGTTATTGGAAAAATATTTTGATAAAATTGAAAGTAAATATTTTGACCTTTTCATAAACACAAAATTCTACAAAATCAATAGAATGTAAAACATTCTGATTACTCAAATTAGTTTGTTCTAATGGAACATGGAAAACATGTGGCCTGCTCAATAACATATATAAATCTATGACAAGCAGAGAGGATAGAACTCATGTTCTAAAGGGGATCATTATAGGGAAAGAATGAAATTACTTGCTGACATCCCTTCTTATATAGAACACACAGAGGTGATGTTGTGCATAAAGATGCTATCCTGAATCACATCTGAAAAAATAATACTAGGCTCATTTCCTGTTTTAAGCAAATAACATTTAATATTTCAGACCTATGAGCTATCCTCTTTGAGAACTCATGGAAATTGGGTTAGGTCTGGATGATTGCAAAAAGGGAAAATATAGTACCTATCTTTAAGAAAAGGAAGAAGGAGGATCTGGTGAACTATACAGACCAGTCAGTCTGATTTTAATACCTGGGAATATCATTGGAGCTCAAGAAAACTATTCTGAAGCACCTAGAGGAGAACAGGGTGATCAGGAACAGCCAGCATGAATTCAACAAATCTTGCCTGACAAACCTGATTTCCTTTTATCATATGGTGACAGGCTTTGTGGGTGGGTGAAAAGCAGTGGATATGGCTTGGCTATAGTAGGAGTGGCCAAAGTTATTCACCCTGGGAGCCACATCTGACCCTCCACCAAAGTTCAAGAGACAGAGAGTTGGGGCTTGGGGGGAGTGCTGAGCGACCTGGAGTGGAGGTGCTTCCCCCCGGCCCCCAGCACTGCCGAGCCACTCCAGCTTTCTGGGTGGGAAGTGCACCCTGGGGTAAGTGGTGCTGCTGCAGCCCCAAACCCAGCAGCCTGGTGCCTAAGCTGGCAGTCCCAGAGGGAGAGAAGGAGGGAGGAGGGCAGGTTCAGGGCACACTCTGCACAGGGAAAGCTGGAGTGGTGGGAGGTGCTAGGCTGTGCTGTCCCCTGAAGCCACCTGAGGGAGAAGTGTGTGGGCTTTGGCCAATTTTCGGAGTGTCAATGCCGACGAGCCACATGTGGCTTATGAGCCACAGTTCGGCCACCGTGGGGCTATAGCAAGGATTTTGACACTGTCTGTCATGACATTCTTATTAACAAGCTAAGAAATACAGACTAGAGTGAAGTACTATAAGGTAGACCCATAACTGGTTGAATTTTCATGCTCAATGAGTAGTCATCAATGTTTAGTTGGGAGGAGTGGGGTTCCTCTGGAATCTGTCCTGAGTCCAGTATTGTTTAATAAATTCATTAGGGATTTAGATGATGGGATTGAGAGCATACTTAGCAAATTTGCAGATGACACTGGAGATTAAGGCTGGGATCCAGAATAATCTGGATAGAGAGGAAAAATTGTCCACAATCTACCACTAATTCTACAAGGACAAGTGCCAAATCCTGTGTTTGGGACAGAATGACTGCATATACAAATACAGACTGGAGAATGACTGGCTAGGCCGCAGTACTTCATAGAAGGACTTGGGGATTACACTAGACCATAAATTGAATATGATTTCATAGATTTCATAGACAATAGGGTTGGAAGGGACCTCGGAAGATCATCCAGTCCAGCCCCCCCACCTGAAGGGCAGGAAGTCAGCTGGGGTCTTAGGATCCCAGTGAGATAAGCATCCAATTTACTCTTGAAACAGTATTCTTTTGTTACAAAAAACAACAACCTTATACTGCTTTATATTAACAGGAGTGTCACTTGCAAATCAAAGGAAGTGATTCTTCTGCTTTTTCCAGCACTCCTGAGGCCTTGTCTGCAGTCCAGTTTTGGATCCCACCCTTCAAGAAGCATGCAGCCAGATTGCAAAGAGTCTACAAGAGAGCAACAAAAATAATTTGGGGTCTGGGAAACATAGCTTATAAGAAAAGACTGAAAAAGGAAGAGTTATTTAGTTTGGAGAAGAGAAGACTGAGGGGAGATTTGATAACAGTCTTTAGATACCTGAAGAGTGATTACATGCAGGATGGAGATGAGCTTTTCTCCATGGCCACAGGGGAAAGGACTAAGAGGAATAGCTTAAGCTGCAGAAGTGGGGATGAGGAGGAACTTTCTGAATATGAGGGTAGTCGAGCACTGGAACAGGGGACCAAGAGAAGCTGTGAAATACCCATCCTTGGACAGTTTCAAAAGCAGGCTAGATAGATGCTTGGCTGGTGTGGTTTAGTTGGGGATGATCCTGCCTTGAAGAGTGGGATGGAAATCCTATATATTAGGGATGTTCAACCACTGGCCAGCAGCATATTATCCAAGCAACAGCAGCATATTATCTGACCCAGGGGGCTTTTTATGGGTCAAGAAATTTGGTACCAGGGGAGCAGTGGTAGTGCTCTTTGGATGCCAAATTTCTAGATTTGTGGGGAGCTCTGTGCCCTAAGTGCTGTATTGGGTACCCGATGCCAGCACATAGGGTTGGTCAGGGCTGGAGCTAGGCCCCAGAGTCCAATCCTATTCTTGGGGGCTGAGAGAGGGTGGTCCACCCCCTTGGGGCCCAATCGCCGTGCACAGGGTTTGGATGGGACAGTGCTTGACTCCCAGAACCCAGGGCAGGGAGGGAGCAGTGCTGGGGCCCCACAGTGCAATCCTGTCATATGGGGCTCAATCTGGCCCACTGACTAGCCCCACTACCTGGCCATTGGGATAAAAATGTTGAGCATCTCTACTTTATATCAACTGGAAAGACAGAAGAATGAATGCCAGCATTCTGGATCAAGTAACTACCATCAATATTGCAACTATATTTATACGGTCTTGGCTCTGTTGGACAGGACATGTCAAGGATGTCATGTCTGTACACCAACATCCACCATGAAGATGGATTACAAACCATAAAGAACTTTATTCCTGATGGGAGAACTGCTTCTGATTCCATTACACTCTTGCACTTGATCCTCACACACAACTATTTCAGGTTTGGATAACCCCTATACCTACAAATGAATGGCACTTCCATGGACGCACATATGGTCTGCAACATGCCAATATAGTATGACATTTGAAGTCTGTTTTCTCTGCAACTGCCTATTTATCATCCTGATCTACCTAAAGTATATCAGTGACATCTTCATTGTATGGACATATGGGAAAGACTCTCTAGAGAAGTTTCATTGGGATTTTAACAACTTCCCCTCCTCTATCAGACAAACTCTGAATACCCTACCCAACAAATTAACTTCTTAGTTCAGTGAAGGTTTACAATGGCCACATTGAAAACACATTATATTAGAAGCCAACTGACTAGTACAGTTATTTTTATGCCACCAGCTTTCATCCTAAGCACACCACTAGAATCAAGGTGATAGCCAAGTCCTATACTATAGCCATATCTGCTCTGATCCCACTGACTAGGATGAACACTTTATGGATCTAGAGCAGGAATTCCTGAAACTACAAAACAATCCCAAAACTGTAGCGACTTAAATCAACAAAGCCAGATTCAGACCTTTCCCTGACCTACTGCAATACTAACCCCATGACAGGGATGACAGAGTCCCTCCGGTGGTCACCTACAGCTCCTGACTTGAACCCTTGAGACACATCATTAATGACATTCAGTCCCTCCTGGAAAAGGATGATCTCCTCAAAGCAATAATGGGAAACAAACTTCTCTTGGTTTACAAGCAGTTCCCCAACCTCAAATAGCATCTCTCAAACAACAGGCTACCTAGCTCCCAGTCTCACCGAGGCATGAGGCCCTGTAGCTGAGTAAGATTCCAACATCAATATAGACCAACTTTTCAGTGGACTGAATAACAGGGATTATAACACCTGCGGTTCTTTCATTTGCAATTCTACTTATGTCATATAGGCCGTCACCCACTCACAGTGCCCCTCTGCTGTCTACATTGGAAAAATGGAATGATCCTTATGTGAAAGAATGAATGGACACCAACCTGACATCAGCTGAAGAAAGACACACAGGCCCATGGCAGAACACTTCATTCTCCCTGGGCACTCCATTTCTGACCTAAGGATGGCTGTTCTCTGGTAGCAAACCTTTAAAAACTGATTTGAATGGGAAACAGTGGGAGAAAAAATCATCCACAGACTGGATTGGATTAAGAATGGTTTAAACGGGACTGTGGATTCTTATCCCATTACATGGATTAAGTTTTGGGACTCTTTCGTTCCTATGGGTTAATGTTTGCATGTTTGTCTTTCCCAGCACTACCCCACTCCACTCCATGCCCCACTCTTTTGCTTTTGTATTAAAATTTCTCTGTCCTTATACTCAGCTTTGTGCATGTCCTTTCACAGCATCAGCTGAAATGCTTGTGCATGCTCTCTCTTGCTTGCTCTCTCTGCCACTCTCCATCGACTTTGGTTAGTCTATAAGGTACAAATCTACTCTGCTTTCCATAAGAATGCCTGACAACAAGCTCCCAAAACAGGTCCTATGCTCCCAACTGACCAATGGTTACCACTCTAGAGGTGAGCAAAAGAAGAGATTCAAGGAAACCTTGCATGCCAACCTGAAGAAATGTAATATTAACATCAATACGTAGGAGACTGAAGCACTGAATCGTCCCCAGTGGTGCTGTGATGAATGACAAAGTATTAACTATTTTGACCAAACTCACTTCACTGTGGAGAAAGATACATGACAGAGACCAAGAGAAAGAGCTCTGACCTGACTACACCAGGATCTACTCCGTCTTCCCAGAACTATTTGCTACATAAGACAGATCTCAAATTGGCCGCCTCCATCTTCTACAGACTCCTGTATTTACCAGAATGATGTTCCCATTTACTGGAAGACTTTAATTCTTGTACTGAGGGCCTAACAATGACGACAAGTAGATGACCTTGTGATCAGGTCTCCTTTCCTATGATCCTTGTAGTATCTGTCATTTTTTTCTCTTACGTTGACAGCTTGGCTGAATGGAAAGAGACAAGAGGGAGGTTATTTTGGATGCTTTTAAAATGAAACTAAAAAGCAGCATTTCTAGTCATCATTCATCTATTGAATTTGCTCATGCTGTTTCTTTGCAGACTACCACAAGTATTTTAAAAAGACATGCACTTGCTCTTAAGTGTAAGTTTGTTGCCATGGGGATAATGAAACCAGAGATCAGGGATGAAATTCTGACTCCATTGAAGTCAATTAGAGTTCTGCTCTCAGCTTGGTAAGGCAAGCATTTCACCTCAGATATGGCATGGTGAGCAATAATGAAAACTTCACTTAGATCACCTTGACAGTTTGACAAGGAGTAACTATTCTGTATGAGAAAGGTTTTATTCATTCTCCAGAGCCATAGTATGGCAGTCATCTGCCATATTTTATTCATTCTCCAGAGCCATAGTAGGAGAGTGCAGTAGGCAGGGCATACTGCAGTGGCATGTTTGAGATTTACTCCAAGGTACCAACTTATCAAGACCTTGAATAAGATTTCTATATATATATAAGCCCCATAGAATCTGTTCATGGCTCCATTTTACTGCAGAAAAATCATCTGAATAACTGGATAAGGGCCTTGTTATGTGTTATAGATAGTATAAGCTGCTCAAATGTTGATTGGTGTTAGTGCTAGCTCGAATTTGGAGCAGTCATAATTCAGGCTAGCAGGGGCCTGGAGGGCTGAAAGGTAAGAATCCCCCTCCCCCTCTGCTGCTCCAGGCTTCGTCCCTGCCCCCTATCCCCCAGGGCTCCCCCAGTTCCCTCCACCCCTGGGGCTCTCCCCTGCTCCCCTGACACTCCCTGTACTCCCCTGCTAACTTGTGGCTACTCAGGCTGCCTGGCCCAGGGGAACAGGCAGGGAAGGGATAACTTGCTTATCAGACCCCCACTGCCACAGCTGTAGGGCTGCTATTTTTCTCCAGGCTGAGCCTTCCCTGGCTGCTCCCCTGGGACAGACTGTGTCGCCAGCCACAAATAAGTGGTTGGAGGGGTAGTGTGCAGTGAGCAGGGATCTGGGGTGCTGGGAAGGGTGGCAGGGGGAAGAGGGCACAATTTGGACTAGCATTGGGGAGGGGTGGTGGGTGGGGTGTTTACAGTAAGGTGTAACATGAGCTGGGTAATAACAGATCAGAAATGATCTGTCCTGGAGTAGCACAACTTTGAGGTGCATAACAAGTGCTTAAAACTAGTTTCAGGTGTGAATACAAGGACAATCCAGGGGTTCAGAGCTCCACGAGTCACTTAGTATTACCCTGAAACAAAGCCCTAAATGTGAATAAGCTTTTTCAAAGAAACCTGATTCACTCTGAAGATTCAGGTGGGTATTTCTTTCATTTTCCATGTCACATGGATTCTATATTAGAGTAAGACCAACTTTGAGGATGTTAAAATAAATGCATGCAGTAATAATTTTGTGGAAGAAGCAGCAATAAAACTGTATTTAATATATTCAAAATATAGAACAAGAGCCTGTAATGCCCACAAATTAAAATTAAAAGCACACTAACAAAAAGAGACAACTTGATCTACTTTTGTTGTCATAACTGAAATTAGCCTGCAAGCAAGAAATAGGTAACCAAAATCAATTAAAATTTTATGAAATGTAATTTCTCTATACAG